TTGGATTTTCTCCAATCCAATGGAGTTGAAAGTACACATACAGGATCAAATATATACAGAAATTCTGGGGGTTCTACAATGTTTTTTAACCTGACAAAATCCAAGGCCTATTAACTTGAAGAGAAGTATAGATTTGGATAAGTTGGGAAAGTCTCTTGGAGCCATTTCTAAACAATCACCCATTCCAAGACCATCAGTTGAAAAAAACAACCAAAAAACCCAGAAAAAAAACAAATACTGAACTGAGAGGGTGTCGACTGAGAGTCAGTCCCCACTCCAAAATGACACTTTCAACATCGACTGAAATTTACAGCTGCCCACATGGACAAGCCAATTACCTTCTAGACGATAGTTTTACGGTCAGATGAGACAAAGACTGAGCTATCTGGCCACAAAGAGATATGTTTGGAGGGGTAAAACTAATGTTTTGTAGCAGCTCTCTGCTTGTTGGCAGTAGAATCATCCTCTGGCACTGTTTGTCTGTCAGTGATACTGGTAGACTGCACATAATGGATGGAATAATGAATGAGGACGACTACTTCCAAATGTTTCAACTTCACAAATTAATATTTAGATGACTGAAACTTGGACAAAATTGTGTGTTCTAACAGGACAATGGAGGCTTACATTTAGCCTCTGGCATCACCTTCCCAAAGCCCTGACCTCAACTCTACTGAACATTTGTGGACTACACTTAAAAGCCGGTTCTGTGGCAATAAACCAACCAATTTAAATGAACTCAACAAATTCTGCAAAGAAGAGTGATCAAATATCCAGCCAGAATTATGCCAGAAGGCTGTTGACAGCTACCAAAAGCATCTGGTCAAGGTGCAGTTTGCTAAGGGACATTTAGCCAACCATTGTGGATTAGAAAAAATCCGAAATATATTCAAACTTGTGTACCCAATTCTTGCTTTATAAAGTCATTAAAGATGTATGCCGTACAACCATTCCACCCTGGGAAAACAACAGTTCAAAGCAATCATTACAAGCCTAGAATGACCATGAAAACTAAGGTATTCACAGAAGTCTTGCCAATCTAATAATTAATGAAACATCACTTCATGACATCAAATGGGGTAAAAGAGGAGCTTTAATCTAAAGTCTAACAAAATGTGTGAGATTTTCAGTTCGGAAGTCACTGAGCATATAAACCTATACCTATAGCAGGTTTTACCATCCTCCAAGCCCTAACAAATAGTAAACGCCAAATTATACCTTTGCAAAAGAAAATGCTACCTCGTTGACAACAAATCCAAGTGAAGTTGTATTGTATATGTAAAAAGACATTAAATGTTGATGGGCACTTGTTGACCGTTCCACCCCTCAGTCACCCATACATTTTCTGTCTCTGAAATGCAGTTTTGCACAGTCGGGTATGAGCTAAAGCTAAACTCACCTTTTTGCCTTATTAACATTAGCAGGGACAGGCTGAGGAGCTGCAGTCACACTCAGACTAATTCCCCTATTCCTAAGAGGGCAGTAGTGATGTATGAGGGGAATGAGATGGGAGGCACAGGTCGATTGGCCAACACTGTCACCATCACACAGTAATGAGATCTCAGGGGGAGGGGGAAAATAGAGAGAGATTCTTCAAACTCCCCTCTCACATAATATACTAATTGGCCTGCACAATATAGGTAAAATGCAGGACGTTTTAATGACATTATTAAAACGAATTTCCCTACATGCCTCTGATAAATGGCATTAGTCAGCTGGATTGAGTGTCATGCATGGTCTCAGCATAATGACTGATCATGTATTAGCTACACAATGTGGGGTCTGGGTTAATTTCCCAGACTAGGAATATCTAGGCACTACATGTACTAGGTATTTATTCTAGTTTGGTGAAGGAGTATTTGACCAGTTTGTTCAGAATCCTGATTTTAAACCTTTCCAGCAACTTTGGGGCAAATTTTAAAAAAGAAATCATCATTTAACAATAATGCCACACCTTCCTGTTGCAGCTAAAGTGGGTTTTTCCTTGCAGGAAATCTTTTGAAAGGATATTAGAGGAGTGCAGAATAAAGTCCACGGATGGAATTACATGTTCAGGAGCAGGATGCACATTTTTCATGTGCCTAAAAGTACCCATTTTTTAATAAAGTGCATTTCTAATTCCAACATGAAAAAAACAAAACAAAACCCACTATGTTAACTAATGTTTTCATATTTCATCATTTATATTTTAAACATTGTTTGATATATTCACCTCTCTGTTATATAAATTGCACACTGACCGTGACTTCTGGAGTGACAAATATGTATGCTGTAGTTTAATTTTTATATTGTCCTCAAGCATTGTGTGCCTCTGTGTGTGCGTGTGTGTGTGTGCGTGTGTGTCATGAGTCTGGAGACAATCCAGAGGCTGAAACTATGTGGAAGGCACTTTGCAAATTACATTGATCTCTCCCTGGACCTGCCTCCTACCTGCTGCTCATCCTAATGCCTGTTTTACAGATGGCTGGGCGAGTGGGGGTGGGTGACAACAACTTCTTTACTTTTTTTTTTTTATGTCTCCTGTTACTTTCTGGTTCTGTCGCTGCATTTACCTCCTCTTTCACTCTCCTGCATCTGCTGCTTTTTGTTTCATCATTCACTTCCCCTACTTCTTGTCCATCACATGCATGCAGATGTCAACCCACAGCACCATATGATACACTTACCCTCCCACTAATCATTTGTATTACTGACATGCTTTCCTCTGTCCTGTCCTAATTACAACATTATTAAGTTTCACGGTGAGGAGCACCAAGGCGGACGCAAAGTGTGGCTTCGCTATGGAACACGGTGGGAAGGTCAAAATAAAGCATGGTTTTTAACCCTGAAAAATGATAGAGTAGATAGTAGTCCTGACATTCCCTGTTGATATTCGGCACTTTCAATGAAATTACAGGAAACCAAATAAAAGATCACATCCTCACAGGCGGCATATATTGCCTATTGGGGGGGATGTCAGCTTGTGCAGCAACAAATACATCCAACTGCAGCACATTTGCCGGAATTTTGTTGAGATCATGTTTAGGTAGGTTAGAATATCAAAGCCTAATTAGGCTTAATGACTCTCCCATCTCTTGGACAGCAGCCAAGCATATGCACACAGTCTAAAAAATTACACGAAAGCGCTCCATGCAAGCCCATGGGGTCTCTTTATTTACAAATCAAGCTGTAGACATGAGCAGGGCTGGGAGTTGAGCTGTATTTTAAGACTTGAGTTCAGAAGTAAAGTATATTATGAGTAGGCAGCACCAAATCTGAGCAACAAAACACATTTTGAGAAATAAACCTCAAACCCTCAAACGCTTTATAATATAGAGCTTGTTATCTCCTACACATACACACAAAAAAATTTCAACCTGAGTGTTTTGCTCTTTGCTGGTAAAAAGGGGACAAACTGAGCAATTAACTCTATTTTACCAAATCGAAAAATACCCATAAAATGTAACAGGCAAAGTGCAACCTTAACACCCAGGCAAGATAGACCTGCCACGTCTTTGTGTGTGACTAAAGATCTCTTATCAAACAGATACCGTAAATAAAAAACTTCCTGATTCCTCGGATTCTGAAATGTAGTATGTTTTCTTTCTCGTTGACCGGTTGGCTAAAGTGAAAATCTGATGTTTCTGCAGCTCTGTTGGTGGATCCTAGCAATGTTTGTGGTATTTTGGTGACCTCAAGCCACAGCACTCCTCTGGACTGTAAACACTCTCAACCCTCTAACGAGCCTCTGCTGCTACGATTGCCCTGCATGGCCTAGAAATGGCTGCCCCGTTTCATCAGCCCTGAAAATATGATTCTATATTATATAAAATATATTATATAAAAAATATGATATATATATTTATATTCAGCAGAATTCATACTGCGCCTCGCTGATTGGACGCATAAACACGTCATCTACCCGTGAATAGGAGATTAATTTGACATAACAAAAAAGCACAAAGTCACTCTATTTGACCCACCACAGACTTCTGTTTTATACAATAAAATACACAATATTCAAAATGTACACTGACTCTGACAACTTACTAAAATTAAGCATCTTATTAAGTTTAGACTGTTGGCAGGATCCTCCAAACTTAACATGTCTTAATACCTCTTTGTAAGACAAATGAGTCACAGTATATTTATAGTTAAAGAATACAGACCATATTTAAATATGGAGGTATCAATACCAAAGTGTCCTAACCACAGAACCTTTTTAAGAGCCAACAGGGAGAAACTCCAGCAGCTGGATTGTAATCTCTCATCTGATTTAAGGAATACTTTCCTCATGCGCTTATTATCTTAACTTCTAGTTTCAGTTGCTATGATTGTGCAAGGTCCATTTTCTTTTTAGTAATATCCATGCCTGACCAAGACGCTTAACTCAAGACAACAAAACAGAACTTCACAAATTTCCCACAATTTTTGTAAAACGTGTTTTGCTTTGCTGACAAACATGTGCTACTGCAGACCAAGTAGTGCTGCAACTTGAGTCTTCGGTCTAATCTCTAGCAGGCAAACAACCATATCTTTAACATGCTTTTGCTGAAGTGAATGATCAACACTTCTAAGGTCTATGTGTAGATTTAATGGAGTCGATTACAAAGAATTGTAATTTTCATAGCTATAGATATGCAAAGGTTCTGATATTTTTGTGTTAAATGTTAATTTTTTTTGTGAACCTGAAAACAAAGCGTTTTCCTCTGTATGCTGTTCAGTTGCTATTATATGCAGGCAAACCAGGAAATGTGCCTGGCAGGGCAACAGGTCAATGGGGAGCAGGGTGAGCAGCGAGGGGAAAGAAGCACACGTGGGCAAAAACTGGCTGAAAATGGTCCAGATTCAATTTTCACCATCTCCATGGCAGCTGCTGCCTGGTTAGAGGATACGAAGGAGGAGCGAACCACATGAACCGTGTTGTAATGAAGCATGCAACCTATCTTCAGAGGATGTGGCAAGGTTTTTTGTTTCTGTGTCTGTGTGTCAGGTGGGATATTCCAGGTTCAGGAACTTACCTCTGCAGATGGTGCCATTGCCCACGTAGCCTGGCTTGCAGGTACACAGATGTCCCCTGATGGTGTTGGTGCAGATGGCGTTCTCATCACACAAATCCTGGCCGCTGGCGCACTCGTCATGCTCTGAGGGAGAAACCGACAGAGAGGAACTTCACATAGAGAATAGAGTGTGTGTGTGTGTGTTTGCGACTTTGCTGTGTGTGAAAGATGGAGGGGTCATTTCTTTTTGAGCTGAGAGGCCACCCAATCGCTGCGCTCTGAGAGGACAGTCAACCGGCTGCTTGGCTCAGAATGAGAAGCCATAGCTGAGTCTTTCTTCTGTCGACAGCCACCTCTCTGAGCAACCATGTTTTCAAACACCAGTTATGCTTGGCATGCTCAAAATGGACTTGAAGTGGATTCTCGAAGGTGACTTCAAACAAAGACGCAAGTTCGCTTTCGTTCCGAGCCCGCTTTTACTTAAAAACTACCGCCCATGGTGGAGAGGCAACAGCTGACACATGGCAGGTGTGCTGGCTAATTACTGAGCATCAGAATTAATTAGCCTAATGATTTTGGCTTGGACACTGATGACTTGCTAGACACAATATCGAAAATATACCATCTCTTTACTTTATCATGTGAACACTTTGAGTTTTCCAGAAAGAGAATCCTTGACTCTACTAGTTGAAAACAGTCGCTTAAAGTGTTGCAGTATTTGTACGCCAACATGGGACAGAGTGATTAGACAGTAGGCTAACAGCATGGGCTGCTTCTGTTTTGTTTCTGTTTCTTTCCCACTGCCAGAAGAGTTTTTTTTATTTTTTTTTTTATTATGAAGACAAAGCAGAAAGAAAAAAAGAAAAACAGTTTCCTTTTCCACCCATAAAAGCTCTGCCAAAAACCTGCTCACTGCAATCAACGCTCTGCATCCCGGCAATGAGACAAGGTGAATGTCCCTACCGCTGAGTATGTGACAAATTCAGTACAAGAACATTATCACAGATAATGCGGGGAATATAATTAAAGCATGATATGGCCAGAACATATATAAGCCGTCTCGAGCAGGGCTGTCAGACTCATTGTAGTTCAAACAGAGCTCGGTTTGATCTTGAGTGGGCTGTCAGATTAAAACCGGGACAAAACAGCATGTTTTAAAAGTGTGCAGGAGTACAAGTACATTCTGAGAATGAACCAATTTAATCACTTTGTCTTGAGTTTGATCTTATTTTCACTGCTGTTATTGCTTTATTGTTTTCATATTTATTAGTGGAGTTTGGAGGCCTACAATAATAATAATAATAATAATAATAATAATAATAATAATAATGGATTGCATTTATATAGCTGTACAATACCACTATTCATTCACTCTCACATTCACACACTGGTGGAGGCAGCTACAGTTGTAGCCACAGCTGCCCTGGGGCAGACTGACAGAAGCAAGGCTGCCATATCGCGCCATCGGGCCCTCTGGCCAACATCAGTAGGCGGTACGTGAAGTGTCTTGCCCAAGGACACAATGACCGAGACTGTCCGAGGGCTTGAACCGGCAACCTTCCGGTTACAAGACGAACTGCCAACTCTTTGAGCCACGATGTACCCCACCTCTTGTTCTTTGACAGCTGGGATAAGCTTCAGCCCGCCCATAACTCTGAATTGGATTAGTGGAAGAAAATTTAATGGATGGCTGGATGTATAGTTGAGTTTAGAGTTACAGCAGCCCTGCTTTGAAGAGAAAAGTGAACCCTATGGCTCTCTAGGAGGTTTGGTTTGTGCACCTTTTCCACATTTTGTTTGACATGTTACCCTCCTCTTCACAAAGCCATCCTGTGCATGGGATTGGGCTGTTTAGTGGGCTGTTTATGGCTTGAGGGCCAAATGTTTGACACTTGGATCTAGTACTTGCAGTCGGGGTGACAAATCTAGTCCCTGATTGTGTTCAATATATCAGTTTCGAACAATATGAAGATATATTCATGATTGCATTTTTTTTGTAATGTGCTCTAATTTGTCAAAACGATTTAACAATATGATGATCAAAACAATTGTCCGCTTAAATGTGTAGCTCTGAATGAACGAGTCGAGGTGCACTGATCCAATCACAACACAGAAAGTGTCCTTACAGCAGCCGATGATAATGACAGCAAGCAGGACTTCTGTCATGTCAAACCCTTGAAAGAGAAATTATTGCCTTATTCACTCATTCTTTGACTCAAATAAAGTGGCAAACAATATTCTATGACCGCAAAACTGAGACAATTTTTTGTAATAGAAAACTTGCAAGGTCAGCGTTATGAAAATATGGACAGTTTTGTTAGAATCGTGAAATGCTGACTTACTAATAAAATAGTAAGTGCTGCGAGTAACGTACAATCTCAGGGTCTGTGTTTTATATTCTGCTGGGTACCATGAACTGCTCTCTTGACTTTTATATGTTTGCTCTTAGATAGAGGCCTGGGGGAAAAGGAAAGGGATTTAGTACTGCAGGCAGTGTATGATTAACCACCACTAAGAGACCTTCCACTAAACGGGAAATCCATTTCACTTCTCTGGCAGCGTAGTTCAAATGTAACTGCATAGCCGAAGTTTAACTTTGGACTTTTCACATCTTTGATGGTTCGCTGCATTTGCTAAACATAAAAAATATTTTTATATGATACAAAGTAACACAGGTAGCTTTTGTGGTAGCTTAGCAAATTATGAATGCACCATATTTTATTGTAAAAAATGCTATTTTTTGGATCTGACTGAGCTACTATGGTAGTGATTTCTGTATTACAATGTAGGCTTTTCTGGTTTGTCGTCCTTTTTGACCCGAGTGACTAAAATGTAAGAAAAACAGAGTCCCATGGTATATTAAAGGCATGTGAAACTAGCTATTGCGACCTTAAACTCAACACCATGAGTTCACTTAGAGCGTAGTTCTCATTTTCCATAACAACAACAACAATCTTTATTTATAGAGCACATTTAAAAACCAGCGGTATACCGAAGTGCTTAACATAAGAGACAGAGAAGTAACACGAGTATTATAAGGCCTTAGCAAAGTATCAAATATACTCACAGGTCAATGCCACTAATACACAGGGGTAATATAAATTGCATATCAAATAAAAACATAATAAAAGCACAAGCCATAAAAAAATATGTATAAGAAAAAATAGAGTAAGTCTAAAAGTCAGGTGCGAGCATTAACAAGCAGGAAAGGTGAGATTAAACAAATAGGTTTTTAACCGTGATTTAAAAGATTGGATGGAATCAGACGCCCGGATCACAATCGGAAGGTTATTCCACAACACTGGTGCAGCCAGGGCAAATGCCCGGTCATCTCTAGACTTCAGCCGAGATCAAGGCTGCACCAAGAGTAACTGAGTAGATGATCTTAATGCTCTGGCAGGAACATACGATTTAAGGAGTTCCTTAAGGTAGCTCGGTGCTGTGTTGTTGGTAATTTTAAACGTAAGCAGCAGTATTTTAAATTGGATGCGGTACATAAAGACAAAGACTTCACCAATGAACAGCAGCAAATTTGATTATGACACTATTAGTGGTTTTAAAACATTTACATTTGTTATTTTATGATCTGATGCCCTGATCTTGGCAAGTCAGCCCCCTGGCAGTTTCTGTGCTTACTATGCATTTCCCTCTGGGATCAATACAATCTTCTCTTATTCTTATTTTTTATTTTTTTAAGAACAGCTCAGCTGTAGTCTTCCAAAAGTAGGCTAACTTAACCACGTGCAGGATATTTTCAAACTTAAGCTGTATGCTAAGGAGAAATCATTTTCTTTCAATTTGAAACAGAGAATTTCTCCTTTTTTGTAATGTGTTTCATAGTAACCTGTGTGGCTCAGAGACCTGACAGGTTACCTCCATGATACTTGGAGACTGGAGCTTCTCTCAAATCCTAATAAAAAGAAGCATAATGAGGGAATACTTCCCAGTTTTCCTCCTGTTCCATTCACGACAGAGCTGACATCAGACCTGCTGGACTCACCAGTGTGCTGATGTATAACTGTCCATCATTGCAAGTGGTCTTAGTTGGAAATCACAGCTAAGGCTGTTGTTTACAGCAAATCAAACTGCAACGTTTATTAGGACCTTTCACCCATACCTATTCTCCACAAATTAATAAACCTTGTGCGTAGCACACATAGAATATATTATTTAGGTTTATTTAAATTGCTGATGTAACATTTATGCACACCGATGTGCTCAAAAATTCTAAAACTGAACCTAAAGTCACAGCACAGCTTTTTTTTCAAAACACTATAGAAGATTTTTGTGTTCAGTTCTAAAGGAGCCAAAGGTGACACTTGTAACATTAAAAAAATGTTCAGGTGTCACAGTTAAGCCACTGCGTTATGATATTGAGGCAGCATAGACAGGTGAAAATGCACTAGAAAGCAGAAGCTTCTTACTTACTATGAAATGTCAAAAGACCTACCGTGAAAAAAGGCATATATTTTTATCTCTGCTACTGAGGTGACAGATACATTTCTGCATTGTTGTGTCACACTGTTAAAAGCAAATGAGCAACTGCTTGGCTGAGCTCCTGTTTCTTTAAACCGCACCGGCATGCTGCAGCATTTTAAACACCACAGAATTAACATGTTACACACATGTTACACTAACGAGACCCACTCTGACAGGCCTGTGTTACGGTTAATCTTGGGGCATCATAACCCGGTGGTTGCTGTGTAGTTGAAAAGAACTAAATTATAACAACATGAAATGATAATCACAGGTGTCAAGTCAAAAATCACACCAAAGTTCCTAAAACTGGGTGAAAGTAAGAAGCTCAAAGACCATGGTCACTGTCATACCCATGTAGAAGGTTGGGTTGCCCAAATAAAATAACTTCTTCATTTATGATCATGTATCTCTGAGAGTGTTCACCAGAGAACAGAAATAAAAACACTGATATTGATTTGTACTGGCAGATATATCTGGAGATTACCTGGAACGCAGTGAAGTAGATGTGCTTTTTAAAAGTAAGTGCAGAAGGAAGTGTGGTGGCAGATTTCTTTCCTCATGTATTAATCACATCTTTAATCATATCACATTAGTTAGTAATATCACTTTCTCACTGCACTA